AAGGCTTAATGAATGTTTTTTTTTTTCATTTTAGATTTAGGGTGGCTTGTTCAGGGTCACAGAGCTAGTCACAGAAGCCAGGTCTTCCTTATGTGAGGCCAGCTGGCTCTCTAGCTACTAAACAGTGTCATATAGCCTGCTTGTCTACAAAAGTATTGTTGTTCAGTCATTTTTCCGCTGTGTCTGACTCCTTGTAACCTTATTTGGGGTTTTCTTGGCAAAAATACTGGAGTGGTTTGCTGTTTCCTTCTCCAGCTCCTCTTACAGATGAGGAAACTGAGGCAAACAGGGTGAAGTGACTTGCTCAGGGTCACAAAGCTAGGAATTGTCTGAGGCTGGATCTGAACTCAGGAAGATGAGTCTTCCTATCTTCAGGACTGGCACTGTACCACCCAGCTGCTCTAAATAACATCCTAGGTATGAAGGCTTTACAGGAAAAGATTATCCTCCAGAATTTGTCTTCTAATAACAATAACTAGTAATAGTAACAATAATGGTTACAATAATAATAATAGCCAGTGTTTATATATTTAGGACAAAGCACTTTACATATGTTACAAGGTAGTTAGACAGTACAATGGGGAGAGTGCTAGGCTTGGAGCCAGGACAACCCGAATTCAAATCAAGCCTCAGACATTTATTAGCTGTGTGACCCTGGGCAAGCCACTTAACCCATTTGTCTCAGTTTACTCAACTATAAAATGGGGATAATAATAGTACCTACCTCTTGGATTGTGTGGCTCAAATGAGACAATAATTGCTAAGCTTGTGGCAGTGTCTGGTACATAGTAGGTACTTAATAAATGTCTCTTGCCTGCCTCCCTTCCCTCCTTCTTCCTCTCAGTTGATCTTCCCAACAACCTTTTTTTTTAGTTAGGCAATGGGGTTAAGTGACTTGCCCAAGGTCATACAGCTAGTAAGTGTTATGTGTCTGAGGCCAGATCTGAACTCAGATCCTCCTGAATCCAGGGCCGGTGCTCTATCCACCGCACCACCTAGCTGCCCCTCCCAACAACCTTTTAAGGAAGATGTCCATTTTATCCCCATTTTGCAGATGAAGAAACATTTCATTACATTTTTATTTCTGGCTTTGTGTTTGGTTCTCCAAAGACATAAATCACCTCCTTGTTTCCTTTACCAACCCTGTACAGAGTACCTGATATCTGAATAATAAACCAATGCTCTTGTTTTTGTCTTTTTTAAGTGGCATCACTGCACCAGAGAAAGAGGCCCAGATATTTGCAGAGCCCAAACTGAATTTGGCAAGAATAATGGTTCCAGAACAAATGCTATTCAGACTCCCTGAAGTTATTTTAATTTGTATAATCAGTGGCCTCATAAATTAAAGAAATATCCTTAAGGATGTATGGCTTCAAGTGAGATTGTACAAGAGATACTTTTAATCCCTTTCTTCACTGAAGTAATACTTTAAAATACAGCTTCAGGGCCACAAATAAATAACATGAGGCTGAAACTATGCAGCAAACCCCTTCCTGAAGATATCATTTTGTAAGGGACAGTACCTTTGCTGCTTTGCTAGGAAGTAGCGTGGTTGCCCAGCCTCCAGCTGGGAGGAGTGCCTCTTACTCCTTGCTTTATTTGAGAAATTCAAGAGGTGGCAGGGTTAATGATCTCTGTAGGAAAAAAAAAGAAAAAAGAAAAACCAATTCATTTAGGAGGGAGCCCTAAGCAAGTCTCAGTTTCTGCATTGCAGCCATTTCAGGAAGATAATCCATTTAGCTTATCTTTTGATTTTAAAATAGATCTAGTATACATACTAATAAATATTATCATATTATACTAATATATAATATATTAATAATGTTATATTATGTGAATATGATAAAAATGATATACATAAACACATTCACATCCATATACACATATAGATATTAGCTATGCATATGTGTATAAATACACATGTATGCATCTATATATCTGTGGATGCATACATATAACACAAACACACATATATGCGTGCATACATATATATATGTATATATATGAGCAGCTAGGTAGTACAATGAATAGAGTACCAGGCTTGGCCTCAGGAAGACTCACTCACCTTCCTGAGTTCAAATCCAGCCTCAGACATTTACTAGTTTTACTAGCTGGGTGACTGCCTGCCAGCCACTTAACCCTGTTTGCCTCATCTGTAAAATGAGCTCAAAAAGGAAATAGGGTAGCATCTTTGCCAAGAAAATCCCAAATGGGATCAAAAAGAGTTGGACACAACTGGGAAAAAAAAGCCTGAACAGCAAGTATGCATGTATATTTATATGTGTGTGTGTGTATATACATACCCACACGTGTGCGTACATATATATGTATATACATGTAGACATATGTGTGTATGTATATATATGTATGTATGTATGTATGTGAGTGTATCTATCTATCTATATCTATCTATCTATCTATCTATCTATCTATCTATCTATCTATCTATCTATCTCACCTAACTGCAGGCCAGAGAATGAATGCCCATCTTTCTCTTAATTTGGCAAGTACTTGATAAAGGCTTTTTCATTCATTCAATATCCATTCCTTCCAAGACACCTTGGGGAGTCAGGAGGAGGACAGGGCTGAGGCTGGCGTTTTCATTAGCATAGGCTGTTTCAACCACACTTTGAGGCAAGTCATGTATTATGCTACTGTAGGAAACTGAAGCAAAGCTTTGCTCATTTCACGTGGATCCCTTCTGCAAAGGAAGCAGATAAAAAGAAAAGATCTTTTGTCTCTCATCTAGCTGTGATGATGCTTTTCCAAAGACAGGCAGAAGACGGGTGGTGGTGGTGTTGCTTTTCATTGTGGTGAATTTTCCCAGCAGGATGTTATCCTGAAGTGGTGTCACTATAGCAACTGTCCATGCTTTCCTGCAGGATTCGGAAGGTTTTGGATCCCAGCTTCCGGCTGGGACGGATCATGCCAAATGAAAAATGATGGGGAGAGGATGCTTTGCTGGCTTAGAATGTGACCCCTAAGTGTTCATTCATACATTCAACATTCACTGAGCACTCATTGGATTCAATTTTATGCTGGGGCTATGGGAGAAGGGAAGATGAAAAAGATACAGTCTCTGTCCTCAGGGAGATCCCAGTCAAGCAGCTCTCCTTCCCTTAATTTTCCTGTGGCTAAACAGTTGTATCTGGCTGGGTACAATTCTGTTTGCTAATTTGATTTTATGCTTTGCCAATCATGTTTGTTTGTACACATATGTGCATGCTTCTTGCCAATCCTTCTTGAGTTTGTCTGTCCATGCTCCTTGTGTTCCATCTTTTTTGTGGTAAAACAAACAAAAAATGGAACACTGTGGTTTGGTGTACAGAATGTTGGATTTGTAGTCCAGTCATGTCAAAGATACTTAACTAGCTGTATGACTCTAGGCAAGTCACTTAACCTCTGTTTGTCTCAGTTTCTTCATCTGCAAAATGGGGATAATAACGGCACCTACCTCAGAGTTGCTATGAGTTTCAAATGAGATATTGTTATAAAGTGTTTTGCAAATCTTGAAGCACTATATAAATGTTACTTATTATTATGACTCCTTGAAAGAAGCCTGGAGTTCAGAGGGCTTCACCATCTTCTTGATTCCTAGAAGGCTTAGTGAGACTTTTTTCATGATTCCCACCCTCTGTTAGTATGTATGGGAAAGACTGTGACCGATATTATTCTCAAGTGGGGAGTTGGTGAGTTTCAAGGAGAGTCCAGCCAGCTCTCAATTATCTGTGGTCATGGGGAACAAAAGTAGCATGAATCATTGAAATCCACAGACAATCCCCAAATCTTATTTGGACTATATTAATTCAGTCCTCTTCCCCCAAGAAACCCAGACACCAATTGCTGGCAAAGGCATGAAATAAACTGATTTAAATTTCATCTACCCTGCCACCAAACAGGAGAAATAAAATGATGAGGAGCATGGAGGAGCAGGGATAATCTAATCATCGCCTGATTTAAACCCACAGACAATCAGGAATGGAGTCTGTTTCTCCTCCTGATGACAGTCATCATCAGGGTTGACTCAACTTTATTCTTTCCAGCCTTTAAGGTCAGATTCGTGAGGTGGGAAGAAGCAAGTTTGGGTTACCATTGTTCTTGGTCTGCTTAGATATGGAGCTGGCCTTCTCTGTTGTTTGTTTGTTCAGTCGTGTTCAACTCCTCATGACCCCATTTGGGGTTTTCTTGGCAAACATACTGGAGTGGTTTGCCATTTCCTTCTCCAGCTCCTTTTACAGAGGAGAAAACCGAGGCAAACAGGGTTAAGTGACTTGCCCAGGATCTCACAGCTAGTAAGTGTCTGAGGTTGGATTTGAACTCTGGAAGAAGAGCCTGACTCCAAGCCAGGAACTTTATCCACTGTGCCACCTAGCAGCCTCCTCCATATTTTCTGTGGAAGAAACCACTTATCAAAGAAACTATTGACTGCTGTGCTATAGACAAACTCAGATGAGATAATTAATTCAAGAAATTATGAAATATCTACTCTGTTCAACAAGGAATTATCAAATACCTGCTCTGTTCCAGGCACTCTGCTAGGCACTGAGCATACAAAGACAAAAATGACAGATTCTCTCCCCTCAAGGAGATTTATATTCTACTAGATTTTTTATTCATGCAAAAGGCAGCCTGGCCCAGTGGAAAGAGCCCTGATTCTGAAATTAGGGCACCTGAGTTCAAATCCCGACTCTAATGTTAACTGCCTCTGTGACCTTGAGGAGGTCACTTCTCTGCCCTGGGGCCCAGTTTAGCCATTTATAAAATGAGGGGGTTGGGCTTGATGGCCTGTGTGTATATGGGTGTGGGGGGGAGGGTGGGGGGGTGTACCTAATAGCATGAGCACACAGAGTATTTATTTGTTATATGATTTTGCAAAACTTCCTTTCTGAGTCTTTAGAGATCTTGCACATCCTCTTCCTTGTTTTTTTTTTTTTTACTATTTTCTTCATCAAGTTTTGTATAATTATTCTATCTCTATGCTTTTTTTTTTTACCCTACAGAAATCACAACAAAGTCAACGGAAGAAATTCAAAAGCAAAAGAGTTGATCCCCTCAAAGGCCAGAAGGTTATTGCAAGATCAGAGGAAAACGGCTTTTATTTTCCAGGTAGACTTTGTATTTTAAGACTCCCTAAGATACAGTTAGGGCTGCTAGATGGTTCTGCAGTGGATACGGTGCCAGGCCTGGAGTTAGGAAGACTCATCTTCTTGAGTTCAAATCTGGCCAGAGATACTTACTAACTGTGTGACTCTGGGCAAGTCATTTAACCTTGTTTGCCTCAGTTTCCTCATCTGTAAAATGTGCCAGAGAAGGAAATGGCAAACTACTCCAGTATCTTTGCCATCAAATGGGGGTCACAAAAAGTGGGATGCAACAAAAGTTATCAAAATATATGTTAACTAAGATTTATACAGTGTGATAATGTAGAGTACAGGTATTACATTATTTAGACTGTGAGCCCTTATGATGGTATTTGCTCTTAATTACACAGGAACAGATTATGCTGTTTGTGGATTATTGATGCCTTCTTGTCTCCTGTTGCCTATCTTCCTGTCATTTCCCTTCTCAGACAGTATCTCCCTCCACCTGGGAAAAGGGGAAAAAAAATGAAAACTCAAATCTATCACTTTGCCAGTGCAATTGCAGCTTCTGCTGGGCATGGAGGATAAAATTCCTAGGCCAAATGAGTTTGGGGAATTTTCTGTGGATTTAGTATAAGTATGCTGTCACTAGTACAAGGCAAACCTCATTACAAGGTGCTGTGACTGCCTGTCTAAATTCTTTGGTTATATTGGAGTTTGGTGCTATTGAATATTGACTACTAGCTGGAATTCTTTTGATTCCACTGAGGAGAGGTTTTTACAGATGATTTCACTTAGAAATTAACAGATTGATTTGCTACTGGTCCCTTAGTAAACAGTTGACTGATTAATGGTTAATTGAGTTCAACTCAATTATGCTTTCTTAAATCCCTCTTTGGTACAAGGTACGGTGCTGGGTATGTGAGTAGTTGGGATGGGGAGGGAAATACAAAGTTTGTTTGTTTTTTTAAGTAGTCCTTGTCCTCAGGGAGCTTATGGCCTAATACAGGGAAGGGGTAGCAACCTCTCAGGGCTTAAAATGAAGAGGCTGGGCTTTTTTTTTGTTGTTGTTCGATAAGTGTCCGACTCTTGGTGACCCCATCTGGGGTTTTCTTGGTATAAATATTGAAATGGTTTGCCATTTCCTTGTCCAACAGAGGTTGGGCTAAATGACCTCTAGGTTAATAATCCTATGATCCTAAGATCAGATAAGTTATACCATGCACGTAATAGTAATGAGAAGCACTAGCCTTAGAAGCTAGAGGTCTGGCCTTAGAGTCTGGTTCAAGACCTGCCTCGGGCCCGTATTAGTTGTCCGACTGTAAACAAATCATTTAACCTCTCAACACCTTCAGATACCTCTGTGAGGCTATTAGTTACAAGTGGATTGCCAGTGGATGAAAGGGGTTTCCACACCGATGAAATCACAAGTCTGGGCCAAAAAAAGAGATAATACTGGTTAGAACTCTGATTAAATGAATACATTTATATAGTCATATAGAGTGGCCTAAAAGATTTAAGGGAGGACAGAGGGAAGGCTTACCTTTAACTAGGGCAAAAATCTTGGGCTTTGAGCTGCTCTACTTCCTGGTGGCTCAAAAAAGATGGGTGTATGTTCTGAAAGGGTTGTTAATGAAAAGGATAGTATCAACATCTTTCTGAAATAAGACATAAGGGCCATGGTGACTGATGCAGATGAACTCTATAATCATCTGAGGGAATCTGACCAGGTTAGAACTATTTAGTTCCTAGATCAGTGCCGCAGGACCCGAATCTATTCTTAACAGAGAATTCCAGGACTTTGTCATTAATGGGGTCCTCAGTGGGAGATGGAAGTATTTCTGTTGGGGAAAGGATACATGACAAGTTGGCATTTTATTTGCACATGAGCACAGCTGTCCCGCACAAAGTATATTAGGCCTCTGGCATCACCATCCAAATCACCAGATAAAATGTAATTCCAGAATCTCTATTACCAAGGAGGACAGTTAGAGACAGATATCAGCTGGATTTATTTTTTTTTTTAGTTTCCAGAGGGCAGATGTGGGGCTGACAACTGGAACAATTTGATTTGTAAACTTAGCAAATTTGCATTGGAACTTACTTTGTGAGAATCAATATGGAGTCATGGCTCAAAAAGGGACCTATCAGTTTATACCTTGCCACTGGTCTTGAAGCAAAGTGAAGGGGAAGAGGTGCTTGGGACCTTCCTTCCTTTTCTCTAAGGCTCAAGGCTGCTCAGATGTGATTGTAGAAAACCGTCTTACTGGGTTGAAAAAGCTCCTTCTGATTTATTTAGCTGGGTGTTTATAATGCCAATTGAGAATAATTTGGAAGCCAAACAGTAAGGCTGAAGCAATTTGGACTCCAACCTCTGCTGGCTCCTCATTAAGTAACAGAATTTTAGAACTGGAATGGTACAGTGGAAAGAATGCTGGATTTGAAGACCTGGTTTTGAATCCCAGATTTGGCACTTACTAACTCTCTGACCTTGGATGAAAAAACCCTGATTCCCTCATCTGCAAAATGAGAGGTTTGGATTCAATGGTCTCCAAGGGCCTCACCAGCTCTGGATCTTTTAATGACTTCAAAGGAACAAGATCATAGGAGCTTACGTTTTCCAATTAGAAGGGACCCCAGTGGCCATAATCCAATTCTTTCATTTTACAGATGAGGAAATTAAGCCGGGAGAACTTTAGTTACTTGCACAAGATCACATGGGTAGTAAACGAGAGACAGAAGACTTGAACCCAGGTCTTCTAATTCCAAAGCCAATGCTCTTCCACTGGACTATGGTCGTTTAGTCAGTCAGTCAGTCAATAAGCATTTATTAAATACCTATTAAGTACCAAGAACTAGTGCTAAGCACTAGTCCAACACATATCTGAAGCAAATTGTTGTCTCATCTTGAAGACCTCCTTTGATTTGAAAGAAGACCATTCTATGTTTGGATAGGTCTAATCCTTAGGAATCTTTGCTTATACTGAACTGATTTGCCTCTCTATTTTCTACCTAATGCTCCTGGTTCTAATCTTTGGAACTAAGAGGAGTAAATCTAATGCCTCTTCCCACAAGACAAACTTGAAGACATTTATTATCCACCATGCCCACCCCTAGGTACTCTTTCCTCCAGGATAAAAAACTCCAGTTAATAATACAATAGTTTACTGCTTTAGTATTTTAGCAAAAATTTGAAGGGCCCAGATATCCATCAGCACAGTAATTGTGAGCTAAGAAAATGAACCAGAAAACAATCCTGCCTGAGAGTGGAGAGCATGGAAAGCCCTCGGGGACAGTAGTACAATATCTATCATTTGATGGCAAGTCAACAGTAAATCACAGAATCACAGAATTGCAGAGATGGAAGGGATCTCAGTGACTATTTTGTCCAACCTGTACCTGAAAAGGCTACAGCATGCCTAATAAGTGAACATCTGGTCTTCATCGGAAGACCTCCAATAAGGAGGAACATGCTAAATCCAGAGGCAGACCATTCAGCTTTTAGGGAACCCTAATCATTGGCAGGGTTTTCCTGACATCCAGCCCAAACTTGCTACTTCCATGCCTCACTTCTACTTATCCCCCTCTGGAACAAGTTCTAGTCTCTCCTCCATGGGATAGGCAGCCCTCCAAATGCTTGAAGAATGCTATCATATGCATTCATTCCCAAGTTTCCTCCTTTCCAGGATGAATATCTGTATTTCCTTCAACCAATCCTTATATGATATGAACTCAAGGTCCTTTACCATACTGGTTGTCTTCCTCTGGATGCTGTCCCCAATTTATTCTTTCTGTATTTGTATGAACACACACACACACACACACACACACACACACTCACACACATATATCCTATTTGCATATAGTGTAGACTGGGAGTTCTTTGAGAATAGGGACTGATTTTTACTTTTTTTTTTTTGCCTTTCTTTGTATCCCCAGTGCTTAGCACAGTGCCTGGAACATAGTAGGTTCTTAAACCTACTATGGAAGTCAACTTAGGTTGACTTCATTCTATAAACTGTGGTACCTGGAACTGAACACATCGTTCCAGACAGAGTCTGTCCAGGGCAACATCTGGCTGAATTCTCACCACCTAATTTCTTCCTTTCTTAGTGTAGACCAAAGTCAGCATTAGCTTTCTTGCATGCTACTTGACACTATTGACTCACATTGAGTTTTGTGGTCCACTGAAGCCCCAAGACCTTTTTCCAGACAAACCATTACTTAGCCATGCCTCCTAAGAAAAATATTTTACATTCTTCCCTATTAAAACCTTGTTACTATTAACATCTTAAAAATATTTTTTCTCTTCTTTTCTCATGTCATTAATGGACAGACATTAAGAGCTAACACCAGCTGTTATGGCCTCAGTTTCCGTGATTACCATTTTTTTGGCAAAATTTAAAAGGAAATCAACTTAGCCAAGAAACTAGTCAACTTTGAAAATAACTGATAGATAACCAGTTACTAAAAGGTTGTTTGACTGGATTAAGGGATTATTTTTTAAAACGTGCTCTGTGTCTGTAGGCGTAGCCTTTTGGGAACTACTTGAATTGTCTAGAATGGTATTGCAATTTTGTTTTTTAAGCTTCACATGATTTTTGAAACTGTATTTTACTTGTATCATTTTTATTGAGATGAGGCATCTGGAGAAGTTTGCAAAGATAATATTTGGGTCTTTTTAGGATATTTTTCATTGAAAGCTTTAGAATCATCTTTGGTGATGATGAGTCAATGTTAAGGTGTAGTAGGAACAGAAGAAAATATGGAGAATAATTGGGATAGTGATGTCCTAAATCAAAGGGTGAAGCCAGATCAAGCCGAATTAGCCAGCATTTATTAAGTTGTTTCTGCATTCCAGACACCGTGCTAAGAGGTGAAAGTGCTAGTTTGTTACATACTAGTAGTTAATAGCACTTTAAGGTTTACAAAGTGCCCCACAATTTCATTTGATACTCACAACCACCCTGTAAGGTAGGTGCCTTTATTATCCTCATTTTGCAGGTAAGGAAACTGAGGCCAGCTAAGGGATTTAATCCAAGCTTGCAGATCTAGGCAAGATTCAAACATAGCTCTCCTTTACACCGAGTTCAGCACTCCATCCATTGCCTGATCTAGTTGCCTATAACATTTAAAACAAACTACATCTGGCCCTGTCTTTTCAAATGTGGGTGACTAGGTGGCACAATGGTTAGAGCCTGAAGTCAGGAAGACTCATCTTGTGAGTTCAAATCTGACCTCATACTCTTACTAGCTGTGTAACCATAAGTAAGTCATTTAATCCTGTTTGTCTCAGTTTCCTCATCTGTAAAATGATCTGGAGGAGAAAATGGCAGACCACTGCAATATCTTTGCCAAGAAAACCCACATAGGGTCACAGAGAGTCAGGCATGACAGAAATGACTCAATGACAACATTTCAAATATCATCACGATCATAGCAAGGGTTCTCCTATGTTAGAGGGAATCAGTAATCGTTCGTTGGATGAACAAGGTAGCTCAAGCAGCTATGCTGTGGTCTGGTTTGCCTACCACAGGGAGACAGAGCATGAAGAGGACACACAATTGGAGATACTTATCTGGGCCTCTCAGTTAACCGGTAGACGCCCGAGACAGAACTGAAAAATAACACATAGGAGAGGCTGGAGTGTGGTGGAGTGAAAAGAATATTGGGTGTGAGGTCAGGACAGAGACCTGGATTATCAGATCATAGGCCTAAAACCGGAAAGAACTTTGGAGGTCCGCCAGTCCACCTGGCTCCTTTTACCAATGAGCAAAGGAAGACCCAGGCAGAGAGAGAATCTCCTGAAGATTGCACGGGTAAGAAGTGTCAGAGCCAGGATTGGAACCTGTACATTAAAGGACAGCTGACAGTTACACAACATGTTAAGGTTTTGCAAAGTTCTGTAGTTTTGCTTAAAAAACAAATCTACTCTGTAGACACAGATAACAACAACCCTGTGGAGATAAGTACTACAAATACCATTATCTTCATTTTAGAGATGGGTGAGATGAGGCCCAGAGTCACCGAAGTAGAAGTGTCAGAGGTAGGATATGACTATATAGACCTTTCTGATTCTTCATCCTGTACTGCTGGCATGTGACTCCAGATGTGTGATCCTGAGTTAAATACTTGACTTTAGGAGACCAGAGAAATAATATGGCATAAAGTCTTACAGTCAGGAAGAGCTGAATTCAAGTCCTCCTCCTGACCCACACCAGCTTCATGACCCTAGGCAAGTTTCTTTATTTCTCTGGGTCTCAGTTTCTTCATCTTTAAGATGAGGTTGGGGCAGCCAGGTGGTGCAGTGGATAGAGCACCTGCCCTGAAGTCAGGAGGATGTGAGTTCAAATCCGGCCTCAGACCAAACACTTTACACTTACTAGCTGTGTGACCCTAGGCAAGTCACTTAACCCCAATTGCCTTAAAAAAAAAGATGAAGTGGTTGGACTTGAAAGAACCTCTAAGGTCCTTTCTAGCTCTAAATTGCAGGCCCTATTATTCTTTCAGTGCCCCTAGGCAATTTTCTCCAGCGTAAAAATTATAGAAGAGTGCTGGTCTGCATCACTGGGGGGTCGGGGAGTAGTTCTCACACACTTATGAAATCACAGGTACAGACCATCCTACCTCCCCCCACCAAAAAAAAAACAATTAAAAAAGACCATTTATTTCACAGGATTATTGTGAGGATAGTACTTTGTAAAGCTGAAATGATTTATGATCACCCTGTTGGAACACCCTCTGCCTTTTCTAATCTGTAGGAAGATACACTCCCTCCATTTTAGGAATCATTGTGTCCTTAGGGGTTTTTGAAACATTTTGCCCCTTAATTTTGAGTTCCAAATTCTATCCCTCACCCACTGAGAAGGCAAGCATACAATGCCCATTATATGTGTGAAGACAACGCAAAACGTATTTCTACTTCAGCATCATGTTGGCAGACACGGCCAGATTGTGGTGGGAAGAGTAATGAAAAGCTCTGTAGCTAATTGGCTCGTCGACCTTGGGCACGTAACTGTTCCCCTCTAGATGTCCACAGCTGTAAACTGGAGATGTCTCCCTCCCTACCACATGTGGCTGGTTGTAAGGAGTAACTGCATTAACGTTTGTAAAGCATCACATAAACTTCAGCTCTTGTTTTGTTTACACGCTAAGTGCCACTTTCAGTCGGGGGTTTAGCTGAACTTTGTAGCTCCCTATGTAGCAGCGGGCCATGTATACTGCAGGCCGATGCTGTAGTTGTTTGGCCTTCGTTCTCAGAGAGTTCCATGACACAGAAATGTTTGCTCAGTCGGGTTGAATTGAATTGCCCAGGGCACTGGGAAATAACCAAGGGACCTTCCTGGTAGCCCACTTGCCATCCCTTTGGAGTTGACAGTCTTTGTATCTCTAGCATCCAGCAGAGTGCCAGACACATAGTAGGTATTTAATATTACTTTTTGATTGGTTATTTTTATGTAGTCTTATTTAAAATCAAGTTGAATATTTCATTCCAAAAATTAAGGAAAGAAATCAACACAGGGTTTGATTTTTTAAAAATATCTTGGCCTCCTCATAACACTCAATGAAATAAGAGATGTTTGGGCCGGAGTCAAGGCAGAAAATCAACACTTGGTTTCTTTTGTAGCAAATAAACCCAGTTTGCCAAGGCTACATGGGGCAGCAAGAGGGCGGTCATGGCCAGGATGCCAGATGCGTTGTTCTGGAGGACAATGGGGACTTGTGTACACATTTTCTATCTATGAAAGGAATGCTGTGCACAGCTGTAGCTGCCGTGTTAAGTATATCTGTTTCTAAAATGTCCCTTAAAAATTATAACCCCCTTTTAATGGGGAGTATAAATTCAGTTAGGCTGGGTGCCAGACCCCCTCAACCTCAGCCCAGGAATTTTCTTTTTCCATTACAGTGCCCTCTTTGATTGCAGCTATACCACAAGGGAACACTCAGCATTTTTAGCTTCTTAATTATTTTTAGTTGTAAATTTGGGCACAGCGGGCACATTGGTTTATTTAACCTGGTCATCTTTCCCATTTCTCTACCATTAGATCTTTCATTCAGCTTTGAGAAAAGGATTCTGGGGGAAAAGCATAGGCTTCTTTTCCTAGTTTTCCAACTGAAAAATACCATTTTTTTATCTTGAAAGACTGATATAAGTAAAGGACAGGTGAATAGGTGAATGAAAGTTAGGCCTCTTCAAAAGTGGAAGGGACTAATTCAAGACATAGTAAGGTCCCCATCACTGATGGCTGCTGGGTGGAAGCTGGTCCTGCTTGTTGGGAATACTGCAGAAGAGATTTCTGTTTAGAAGCCATTTGAACTTCACTCACCTCTGAGATTCCTTCCAGCTTCTGTAAGTTATGTGAGTGGAAGGCAAAAAGGCTTCCTAGAGGAAGGAGTCACATATGTGTGTAAATAATCTTTTATTTAGGAAGAATAGTTGCTTTTTTGTTGTTATTGTTGCTGCTCTTCAGTCATGTTTCACTCTTCATGACCCCATTTGGGGTTTTCTTGGCAAAGATGCTGGAGTGATTCGCCATTTCCTTCTCCAGCTCATTTTACAGAGGAGGAAACTGAGGCAAAGTCAAGTGACTTACCCAGGGTCACACAGCTAGTAAGCGTCTAAAGCCAGATTTGAACTCAGAAAGGTGAGTCTTCTTGACTCTGGGCCTGGCATTTTATCCACTGTACCACCTAAGGGCTCCAAATATTTGCTGTTGCTCAGCCGTCTGTCACTTAAATCCAATTCAGTTGCAAGTCATGTAATCATCTTCCTGATGTCATGGTGCTCTTTGAGAGCAAAGGATAAACCACAACACGACTGCTCAGTATGAGGCATAGAAATTCTCCAGGCCCCTGTTCATTTATCTGGATGCCTACCCATCTCACTGATATTTTATAAGCAATGTTTATAAAATGCTTTGGGCTCTTCTGTTGTAAAGTATTGCCTAAGACCAAAAAAAAAAACCCTCCCAAAAAGCAAAATGATAATTTATTCTGCAAGAATTCTTACTGAATTGAATCCCCCCTGGCAGGTCCTAGGAAAGAAAACAGTAAGCTAGAGTGTGCCCAGTGGAGGACAACAAGGAGTGTGAGGGGCCTCAGGATCGTGCCATATATAGACTGGTTGAAAAACTGGAGGCCATTTAGCCTGGAGAAAAAAAGACTTAGAGGAAACACCATAGTTATGTTTAGGTATTTGATGGGCTGGCATAGTGAACAGCAATTAGATTTGTTTTGCTTGGCTCCACCAAGGGTTGAAGATGGCAGAAAGTCACATTTAGGCTAAAGGTTCTTCGAGTTGGATGGGGCCCCAGAGGCCATCGACTCCAATCCCCTCATTCTACAAATGAATACCAGAGGCCCAAAGATGTCAAATGATTTTTCCCAAAGTCATACATGCAGTAAGCATTGGAGATGGGATTCAAACCTAGGGCCTTAGTCTCCACTGGTATTCTTTTCCACTGTGCCATGATGAATGCAATCCTGAGGTAAAGAAAAACTCCCTAAGAATTAAAGCTGTCCAAGAGGGAAATGGGCCACCTGAGTCAGTAGGATTCTCCTTATTTCAAGTCATTAATTGATCAGTCAACAAACATTTATTGAACCCTCAACTAGGTGCCAGGTACCATGCTATGTACTGAGGATAAAAATACAAAGAATGAAACAGTGCCCATTTGCAAGCTTATAGGGAAAACAAGTACTAAGTAGCCTATGAGGTCCCTTATAATCTGAGATTCTGTGATTCTTGTCCCACATCTATAGATAAAAGGAATGTTAGGTGACTAAATGCCCATTTGATGGCCAACAGAATTTGTGAAGTTATCTGGAATGTAGTTTTAAAAATGCCTTTTAAAAAAAATGATTCATTTCAGGCACTGTGGGTAAAATGTGTCGGCCCCACGCATGCACTTGTGCAGTTCAAATATGGAGAAGCTCGGGTCGTGCCCATCATGTTCATTACTCCCATGGGTGGTGCTATGCGCTGTCCAGTTCTACAGGTAGGAAAAATAGCAATTCTTTAAGCTACCTTTTCCACTGTTCACTCTGTTCTTTGCTTCTCACAGCACAAGTCACAGATGACAACACTATACTTACATTCTTTAGTAAAGTATGACTCTTTGACTCTTTGTTGAAGAAATAATATTAACTCTTCTTTCTGTGGCTCAAAGCTACCATTTTCCTCTTGCTAATTTATAGTTGCTTAATTAACTCCATACAATGTAAATAATAATCATATTGACTTGCTTTTGCTAGAAATATTATCACCTTGTTTCCAACAGGATGCAGAGCAACAGAGGGGCTGTAATTTGCCCAGGATTTATCATCTTTTCTTAACTTTACAAGAATAAATTAACAGTAATTTATGACCAACGTACATTCCATTGCTTTCCCTTGGCATTGTATTTAATTAACTATATTTTTTAGACCTTAAAACATAATTAGGCCCTCAAAAGTTTATGTGGCTCATATGTGAATGGATAATATTTGTGATGCCATGGTATTTTCTCATCTAGTTATGAATCCCTAAAAGATTGGTGATAAAAAAGAAACAAGCTTTGGGAAGATAAAGTTTCACAATGATTTGCTAGTTTTAGTTATTGCTTGGTTGGTAAGCCAGTTGAAAAGCAATCTGTCAAAACACTATTGAATTCAGAGTTGTATGGGATCTTGGAGGTCAATTTCTAGTTTGTTCTCCATGCTTAGCAAGGTGCCTTGCACAATAGTAAATGTTTAATAAATACTTACTGATCGTTAGAGTGGTTAGCTGGCTAGTTGATCTCTGGCAAGGAAAGAATGGAGCGGTTCATCCCAGCATCCCAGAAAAGCAGAATTTCAATGGAAATATCTCCTAAAGCAACCCATTCCCTTTTGGGGCTGCTAGCAAGTTATTTCTTATAGGGAGCTAAAATGTTTCTTGGGGTAACTTCTACCATCTTTTTTTAGTAGTTTTTGCATTTCAGTTCATATCAAGGACCTCCTACATACAAGGCACAGTCACAGCTACTAGAGATCCAAAGACCAAAAATAACATAGTTGTTGACTTTAATAAGTGTATATCCTGTTGAGGTAGGGAGATATGACTTGTATATAAGTAAATGTAAAAAACAAAAAAGATGGTTTGTCATAGGGCAGAGGAGATCCATAGAAAGTTCTCTAGGAAACTACTTTCAGTTGGCAGTAACTTCAATAAGACAACACAAGCAGGTCTGCTCTCTTCTCAACATGTCAGCCTTTCTGTGGTGTAGAATCAAAGCACTTGGGGTTCAGACACCGTGTTGGTCATTTACAACCTAGGTGACCTCTTCACCTCATGGGGCCTCAGTTTTTTCTTCTGTAAAGTAAGGCATTTGGACTAGATGATCTTCTAAGGGCCTCCCCAATTCTGAGTTTATAATCCCAGCAGTAGTTAAAGTAGCCATCATCTGTTGTTGTTGCTGAGTTATTTCAGTCGTGTCTGACTCTTTGTGACCCTATTTGGGAGTTTCTTGGCAAAGATACTGGAATGGATTGCCATTTCCTTCTCCAGTTCCTTTTACAGATGAGAAGACTGAGGCAAACAGGGTTAAGGAACTTGCCCAGGGTCATATAGCTAACAAGTGTCTGAGGCTAGATTTGAACTCGGGAAGATGATTTCCCTGGCTCCAGTTCAGGCACTCTATCCTCTGTGCCACCTATTTACCCAAGCCATTATATTTTACCTCAATCATCTCTTCTCCAGGCCATAAATTTACTCAACTCTTTTAATTGTTTCTTATAAGACATTGTGTCAAGCACCATTCATTTCCTCTGGATAGACTTTGGTTTATCAATATCTCTCTTAGGATTTCAGTTCCAGAAATGAATAAAGTGCTCCAGACGGGGTCTGACCATCAGGGAGTACCCTGGAATTATTAGGTCTGTGATCGACTTATCATCCTTGGTGGTCTAGTAAAACTAATTTCTATTGTTTCTCCGTATTAAAATTTGCCAGTGTTGACATAGGGATAGGGCCTGCACATGTGGTTTCATTAGTATAAGGAAACCTCAGGTGAGGAAACTCCCTCTTACCAATTCAGGCTGGCCTTTTCTCCTTTCTCCACGACTTCACAATATTAGAGAGTTTATTGCAACCTGAGAATTTAAATGATTTGCCCATGGTCACACAGCCAATATGTGTCAGAGGCAGAATCCAATCTCAGGTCTGCTGGTCCTCAGTCCTCTGTGTTATGCCTGCCTTTTCAGCATTGATATGTGGTAGTTAAAACTCTTAAAAAAACCTTAATGTTGCCTAAACTTATGTTAACATGATGTATTTATTCTAAAGGAGGATTATTCTATACAAAATGCATTCTTTTGTACAGGTTGGAGACTATGTGTTTGCCAAAATTGTCATACGAAGAGGATATGATTTCTATGTTCCAGCTATTATCACAGCAACACCCAGTGAAGATGAGCCATATGACCGATTCTATACTGTTTTGAAGTGTAACAACAGAAGAGTAAGTAGGCATACATCAACACAATGACACTGGGCTGAAAGGAGACTGTGGGAGAAAGAGAGAACAATTTGGGAAATAGTCATTGTAGTCGTTCACCTGGTACCTTCATGAGGAAAATTATGAAAACAATAACATAATTACATTATGTACTGGCTGAGTATAGAGGATTACACATTTACAGAAAAAAAAATGGAAGTACGTTCTGACGTCCAAGTAGGGAGGGTAGTATATTGAAATGCAATTGAATCAGTGCCAAGATCAGTTGGTTGATTGATTAAGACCTTGTTGCGTTGAGTGCCACCCACAGAAACAACACCAACCATCACAAAACAGTGTAGAATCTTCCCACTGCTTTCATTTTTAATATTATACATACTGACATGGACACATAGAGCAGGCAAATAGACAGTGGGATAACCACATTCAGTAGGGATAGTAAATCGAGGCATTTGGCATTGCTTTTGGAGAAGGTTTACTGGCAAAGAGTATGAAAAACATATGAGCTTGGAATGATTAAAGGCAGAAGTTAAGTCATAGGGAAAGATTAACCAAACAATCAGAAAGCATTTATTAAGTTCCTACTGTATGCCAGGCACTGTGCTAGGTACTGGGAATACAAATACAATGAGTTCATCCTAAGGCAGGGGGAGGGAGGAAAAATCAAGCACTATATATGCAAGATAAATACATGGTAGTTAAATACAAGATGGTAGCTGGTTGCCGGGGAGCAGTCTTGTGACGGGAGATCAAGAGAATTTTCATGTAGGCAGGATTGCTTGAGCTGTAATTGAGAATACAAAACAGCACATGTGAAGGGCTATAGAACACTATAGGACAAGATGGGAAATGTTAGGGAGGTGAAGAGCACAGTAAAACAATAAAGACAAAAAGATGCTGCCTTTGACAGTGTTGGAAGAACAGAGGAATGACTGAGCTGGCTGTGGCAGGAAGCTGGGCAAAGAGCAAGTCTGGGAAAGATGTAACCAGAGTCTGACCTAAGCAAAGAATGTTGGGATTAGAGAGTAAGGGGCAGATGTGTGAAAAGCAGTGGACGGATGGCTGTGGAAACCAATCTTTCCTTGGGGGGAAGGACAGAGAGGAGTTAAAGAGGACTTTGATGAGTGAACCAATAAAACTATGAACAGATTCTTAACCCTGACTTTGAACTGCTCTCTTTAAACCTACCCTGTTGAGGAGAATGGCACAGAGAGCTCTGCTCGCTGCTAGCATGGGGCAGTTTGGGGTAGCAATGTGTCTGCATATGGGCTACTACTGACTGAATGGTTGCTATTGTTGTCATTATAGGACTTTTGCCTCAGAAGTGGCCTTATTAAAATCAGCCAAAACAAATATGCACTCTCTTGTTCCTTTATAAGTTCTACACCAATGAAAGAACCCCCAAAGTAAGTGTGCTCTAACTTCTTACTTCCTGAATTAGATTGTGCCTTACACTTTTATTTTCATCCTTCAGTAGAGAGCAATCATCCTTTAAATATATAGGGAGAAAGGCAGAGATGTGGTACATTTTGCCTGAAAATACTTCAGTTATTTTATCCCTTAATCTTCATTTGTCTATTGAATGAGTATTCTATATCCATGAATATTATTTCAAAATTCCTGGAAAAAGCACACTCTTAGATGATTAATGGCGAGCAGTTCTCCAACTGTTAATTAGGACTCAAGAAAAGCACCATTCTCACACACTGTCTACATAATAGCAGGGTTAGACTAAGTAGAGCCTCTGTTCAGGTCCTTCTCTGATGGCATGGAGGTGACCCAGTGCCAGCCCTAGAAGGTCCAACTGACCTGGAAAGGCTTGAAGGCAGGGCCAGGTAAGATGTGTATGTATGTCTGTTTTCTGAACACTAGCCTAGCTAAGTTTAGAGAGGCTCATTAACAGTTTGGCAGTAGAGTGATTCATTTTTTGGCCACGGCAACACTTAAAATCAGCTATGAAGTCAAAAAGACCTGAGTCCAAATTCTGCTTCAAACATCAGCTCTGTGACCCTTAGCAAATCACTTCACCTGTCTGGCAGTTTCCTCATCTGTAAAATGGGGGTAAAAATAGCATCTACTTTCCCCCAGGGTTGGTGTGAGGATCAAATGAGATAATATTTATAAAGCTCTTTGTAAACTTTAAACTACTTTACAAATGCTAGTTATCATTATTATCATTATTATTTGCTACTATCAAGATACTAGTTACACCAGTGAAAACTCAATGTATTGAAGTAATATGAGGAAAATGGCAAACTATAATTTCTTTAAGCTCTTAAGGAAAGAGCTTTAAGTTTCTTTGAATACTTTGCCCTCTGTATGTATCCCTTACAGTATATTTTAATGTTCGTTCCTCCTGTAAATAGTTTTAAATTTTTTTTCAAAGGATGATTGAGTGGAAATTTATGTTTGTCTTTACCTCTGAGATTACCATACGTAGGCATCGTTGCTCACCTGGTGGTAGTGTATACCATTTGCAAACACAGCGCCCTGGTTCTCAATTCATCTTGTGTAGGGCTATTGTAACTGGCTCCTAATTGGTTTCTCTGTTTTTGGTCTCTGCCGACTTCAATCTATTCTCCACATAATCACCAAGTTGATATTCATGAATCACAGATCTGAACAGATCATTTCTCTGCTCAAAAATCTTCTCTGCCTCTCTGTTGCCTCTGAGATAAAAGGCAAAAAATCCTCAGTCTGGCATTATCATCATCATCATCATCATCACCATCATCATCAGAATCTGTGTAGTGCTTTAAGTGATTTAAGATTTGCAAAGCACTTTGTAAACATAAGTTATCTGATTTGATCCTCACAATAACTCTGTGAGATGCTATTATTATTATTATTATTATTCTCATTTTATAGGCAAGGAAACTCAAGAGGCTAATTAAGTCCCTTGCCCAGGGTTACCCAGTAAGAAAGTGTCTGAGGCATGATTTGAACTCCAAGTCTGGTGCTCCATCTAATATGCTACAACTATTTTTAAATCTTCCATAATCTGGCTCCCACTTACCTTTCCCAGCATGATTCATGTTCCCTTTCTTCACATGCTCTCCATACCAGATAAAGCGATCCCCTTTTCTGCCCTACACAACATTCCATTTCCCACTTCCCAGTCTTTGCAAAGGTGTCCCCATACGGGCACGTCTGGAGTGTGCTCCTTAGGACACCCCCTAGAATCTCTGTCTTCCTTCAAAGCACAACCTACACACCCATCCCTAGGTGAGGCCTCTTCTGATTTCCTCCAGGTGTGCTCCAAGATAAATGCCCTGTCCTGCTTGAAATTACCATGTATATGTTTCATATAGTTACTTCTCAGTGTACGCCAAATGTTAGCTTTTTGAAAGCACTTTCCTTTTTGTATTTGTATGCCTTGAACAGTACTTTGAATACAATAGGTGCTTTAAAAATGTCAATCCTCTTCAGCTCTGGGCATCATCTAAAATGAAAACCTTGTTTTTCATTGCTTCAACTTAAACCAGAGCTACACATGTCACTAACTTTCCGAAGTGAGGAGAGCATTCAGCCAATTGCTTTTATCTGCAGCTGTCTGTATTATCTGACTGTTAGTGCCACAAATAAAACAAATTAAGTTGCTATAAAAAAAAAGTCAATCATATTTGCAACAAATATGACAGGGCCTGGGGCAACTAGGTGGTACAGTGGATAGAGCACTGGGCTTGGAATCAGGAAAACTCATCTTCATGAGTTCAAATCCAGCCTCAGACACTCACTTGCTGTGTGACCCTGGACGAGTTACTTAACCCTGTTTGCCTCAGTTTCCTCATCTGTAAAATGAACTAGAGAAGGAAATGGAAAGCCATTCCAGTAACTTTGCCAAGAAAACCCCCAAAATTGGGAGGTACATAACTGAAATGACTGAACCACAAATACAGGATTTAGTACACAGCAGGCGCTTAAGAAATGGTGGTTGGATTTTTTTTTTGCATCTGTTTATGAAAAGCTTTGTGCTAGGCCCTTTATTTACAAAGATGAAATAAGACCTAGTCCTTGCCCTTGAGGAATTTATAGTTGAGTAATTCAAGCAAGCCAACCTGAATAGGAGGTAATATGACCCAAAAGAACAAATGATATTGCAGCATATCAGTGAAAAGAATTTTTATTTATGGTGCTGGTAGCTTGTCAATAATTCAGTCATATAAAAGAGCCCTGACTTGCCAGTGGTTATATTCAGAAATTTGAGGTGATCTAGAATGGCTGAATTATAAAATAATCATATTGAGCCAATTCAGTGATTTATTTGCTTGTCTAATGGGTAGATTCACAGTTCAACATGATGTTGACTGAGCTATCTTTGTCTATTGCTTCTATTTTCTGCCACAGGGTTTTGCATCGTTAGCTAGCTAATATATTCTCTAAGCCACCATAACTTCAAGACATTAAAATTTCCCAGCATACAAACTTTGATTTAGGAACCTAAGAAGGGGTGACAAGTCCAGAGCTGTCTTCATCAAAGGGCAGAAGTCATTTGGTTGGGCTCAGCGGGGTCAGTTCATTGAGTAATATAGAATCCACTTCTCTGCCCTATGGGGAGAAGACCTGCCATCAACATGGACATTCTCCATACACGCTGTTGTCGATGTTGTCGATGTTGAGTCGTTTCTTTTGTGTCCGACTCCCTGTGACCACATTTGGGGTTTTCTTGGCAGAGATTTGCCAAGGTTTGCCATTTCCTTCTCCAGCTCATTTGACAAATGAGGAAACAGAGGCAAACAGGGTAATGTGACTTGTCCAGGGTCACACAGCTAGGAAGTGTCTGAAGTCAGATTTGATCTTATGAAGATGAGTTTTCCTGATTCTAAGTCTGGTGCTCTATCCACTGCACCACCTAAATTATGGACACATGCCTAGCCCCCAGGAGGCAGCTTGCTTTGAGGGTGTAGCCAGGTGCAATTGATAGAAGGTTCGGAAGTAATAACTTGGGCATATTATATTCTTCCATTGGTGCAGCTGGTGCGCAGATATATGCCCAAAAGGGAAGAGCGGTATGAGTTAATTTAAAAATTCTTCTGTCCAAATGTGTTTTAAAATGTTCTGAGGGGAGAGTGAAAGCAGAGTCCCTTTAAAAATTAAAAAGCAGATCTGCCGGAGGTTCTTGCCAGGTAGATTCAATGGATTCGGTTCAACAAAGATTTAGCCTGCTGTACGCAGAAGGGTATAAAAGCTAGCCTCAGAGCTTATGGCACAGAAAGAAATACAGATACATGGTGAATAACTTTAGCAGCAAAAGGAGGAAGGAATTTGAAGTGAAATGTAGAAGTGTGCGGTTGCCAGAGAAACTTCTTCCTGATTGGAGAAAAGGCCGTCTAGAGGAACTCGCCTTGTAAGTGCTGCTGCTATCATCCATCAGCCTCTTTTTAGATAAACCTTGACCCGGTTTCAGAAGGTTGGTAGCAAGTAAGAATCAAAGCAAAAGCAAAGCATCAGAACCCTCTGATGGCTTAAACTGGGCCTGAGGCTGGGTATGCAAAGTGCTTACCCCCTCAGCTTCTGGAGAGTTCTGAATTGGGACCTGTATTCAAATCCTGACTCCAGGGGCAGCTAGGTGGCGCAGTGGACAGAGCACTGGCCCTGGATTCAGGAGGACCTGAGTTCAAGTTGACCTCAGACACATAACACTTACTAGCTGTGTGACCCTGGGCAAGTCACTTAACCCCATTGCCTAGCCAAAAACAAAAACAAAACAAAAAAACCAAATCCTGACTCCACTACTTCACCTACCTGGGTGACCCTGGGCAAGCCACAGAAGGAGTCTCTCTGGGCCTCATTTTCCTTATCTGTGTAAAATGAGGAGACTGAATTGGATCAGTCTGCTGGTATCCATTAGCATTTATTAAACATTTACTAAGTGCCAGTCATTGTGCTAAGCACTGTGAATATAAAGAAAGGCAAAAGTATTTCACGGCTCTTAAGGACCATGTAATCCTAATGGAAAGTAAAATTATCTCTGAGGTCCCTTCTGATTCCAAATCTATGCTATTATGAAACATGTACAGTCCCATACCCTGTTGTTTGTCTCCCTGGAACCTGCTGCACCCCAGAAGGACACATCAACATAGATAGGAAGACAAACTCCTGGGGATTCCCCTGTAGCCACCCTGCCTCACTGCTCTCAGAGTCCTAGCTGACTCTCCCTCGGTTTACTCCAGTGTTATCATTGGGGGCATCTGTAGAATTGTTAGGGACTCTCTTCAGTAGACCAACATTACACTACAGTGTAACCCAGCGCAGTGCCTGCTGTGAGTAGAAAATACTGGTAGGGTAATACATAGCATGTATTGTGGCTGCCTCTCTTCCTGCCCACTTCCCGTAGTCCCATTCTGTTGCCTTCTCCATGTGGCTACCGCTCCTGGACTTCTTATCCTTTTAGGTACCTACTGTATACAAGACACTGTGCTAGGTACTGGGGAAATAATAGCAAAAACAAAACAGTCCCTGATCACAAGGAGCTTACATTCTACCCGGGTTTGGGGGTGGGGGTGGAAGGGAGAGAAAATATGGACATATATAAGTACATATTAAATAAAACAAGGTAATTTCAAGGGGAAGGTTTTCACAATGATTTCGAAGTTACTATATGAGAAAGGTTAAAGTTAAAGAAGGAAAGAGAATGGAAGTAGCAAGTTATAGGCGAGTGAACTTGACTTGGGTCCCTAACAATGTGCCATGAGAGAGCTTGTTAATGGGACATCTATCTAGGAAAAGCTGGGATTGTTTGACATCAAGAACAGGTCATATCAGAACCTCTGTGTGCTACAGCCCCTCTGAATTCTTGCATTTCAAATGGAATTTGCCAGCTATGGGCCAGTGAACTTCCATTCCCAGCAGAATTCCAAAACGTATTATTGGAGAGCCTGTCAATGAGCATCAAGGAGAAGCAGTGACAGCCTGCTTTGCCTTCATCATTTGCCCTGGCTTTTGAGTTTTGTGGGTCATTGTCAGAACAATTGATCGAGCTTCCCCTGTGGGGGGACAGATCACTATATCAAGATGTAAGAAGGGCATAAAATAGGCCCTCTGTCCTCAAGGAGCCAACAACCTGATAATCAAGATGATCTCAATCTTTGAAATAAAGTGTTGCCTCGTCAGGCAGTCTAGAGAACTCTCGCATCTAGAACTCAAGGCCGATAGTTCAGTTTGTGCATCTGACCTGATGTAACTGGTAGGTGATCAACCCTAGGGGAGGCAGGTCAGTCTTAGACATCTCAGTGTTATAGCACAGACCCAGTATTTCATTCTGGATTAAAACACCAGACCACAACCTCAAGAGTCAGACTTTCTGAACCAAGTGACTTCACCCTGTTAAGGTCTCAATTTTGGAAAGAGCCTGGCTTCTTGGAAAGGTTAGAAACACTGGATCTAATAAAATGAGAAATAAATCTGGTTCTTTTTCCTTTCCTCAGGAGAAAAACTCAGTTAGAAAGGAAATGAGTGTACTCCTGATTATTTAAATTTATATCTACCTTTAGGGTCCAGCAACATTCTTT